AACTCATTCAGACGCATATTATCATTGTGTAGCCCCCCAAGGCAAAGCTGGTATTCATATTCTACTATATTTGCTTCTCATCCATTGAACTCAGTTTGAATATGTCACTATGTGATGAAATTTTTATGCTTTGTAAGTAAGAAAGTAAAAAAAAATCATTTGTATAGCACCTTTGAAAGCCTTGGGTACAAAGTGCTTTACAAAGGAAAACAAAAGATGAGTACAAAACAAACATTACAACAGGAGAAAATAGAAATCAGATCTAATAAGAGGAATCGTAACTCAAAATAGAGTACATGACTCAAGCACAAATGTGTCGACTTGTTTCTTTTAAAATATGTCCTTCACACTGCAGATTACTCAGATTCCTCAGCAACAACGACATATTTTGAAATGAGCAACAAACAAAAGACCTCCATGTATTCTCAATATTTCATAGCTTGCTCAACATTGTTGCAATGTCCCTCCCACCGTACAGTGGTCCAAACAAGCCACATGGCCACAGTCTGCATGGTCGTTCATTCATCAGTTGGCAATCTAATTAAAGTATTCTCTGAGATTCCTTGGGAGCAAAGGCTCGGGGCCACATTTCTCTCAACAAGAATGCATTCTTTATCCTGCTATGTTGTGCAGCAGAGAACCCTTTTTTTTCTAGTAAACGTGTGACGCCAGAATTTTTTCTTTTCTTAACCATTTAATAATATTAGAGCTTATTGTTCTGTGATAATCAAACATCTTGGAAGGAAAGATGTCAAAATGTAACAGAAATCCACATCCAAAGCAATGAAGGATGGGAACAGCTTGGTAGCAGAAGGTCTACAGCCAACCAGCTTTCATTCCCAGGTCATCAAATATGAACGCTTTGTCACGCCCCCTCTGGTCTGATACCAATGTACAAGGCATCCTTTTGTGTTTGTATGAGAAGCACAGCGATCTCCTGGGTGAAACACACTGTAACGTTGTGAAAAGGTTGTGGTTAGGTTAAGGTGACAAAGATTAGGTTTAGAAAAATATTTTTGTTTAGTACGGGGTTATCAATCAATTCAATCAATCAATTTTATTTATAAAGCCCAATATCACGAATCACAATTTGCCTCACATGGCTTTACAGCATACGACATCCCTCTGTCCTTTGGACCCTCACAGCAGATAAGGAAAACCCCCCCCCCCAAAAAAACCCTAACCCTAACAGGGGAAAAAAAACGGTAGAAACCTCAGGAAGAGCAACTGAGGAGGGATTCCTCTTCCAGGACGGACAGACGTGCAATAGATGTCGTACAGAACAAATCAACATAATAAATTAACAGTAATCCGTATGACACAATGAGACAGAAAGAGAGAGAAAGAGAGAGAGAGAGAGAGAGTTATGGTTAGACATAAAGTAACATGACAACTCCAAAGCCTGATCAGGAGGACTGGCAAAATAATTGGTACACTTCCCCATCTTCTCTCAAGGAGGTATTTGAGGAGACAGTGGGGAAGCAGGGCCTAAAAATACCTGTGACCCAAACCAGATCCTTCAGAAAGAGCATGAGCAGATGCACAATCTGTGCAATGCATACGGATAATTGTCTGTAGATGAAGAATGTGTATGTTCTCTTGAATGCCCAAGATTAATTTCTCTACAACAAAGGCTTATCTTGTCTCGTCTTGTCTCGTCTCGTCTCATCTCCTGACAAATGCATGACACGACAGGCCTATGGGATGCATTTATGTAAGGTTATGTTTAAATTAGTCAACGTTGACTTATGGTTTCATACAGGACAGGAACAGTATCCTCCTGGGTGAAAGTCTTTTGGACCTGTCCACCAACCCAACCTCCTCCGTACGCAGACTGTCTTGCTCTTTATGCGACGCCAGTTGCTCGGAGCATCTTATATTGCCAAGGATGGATTTACATTTGTGTTAGTTGAAAGCCTTGTGCAGGTTATTCAGAACAGTATGCGTATTGGATGATTCCACACATCACATTTTACGTTGAATACCTACATTCAGTGCCAGTTCCTTAAGTGGTGTGCCCATGTATGTAGGTCGTCTCTTGTATAAAGCATCCCGTCACAGCCTTGCAATTAACATAGGCTTTTCTACTATCAACAACTACCTTTCCCCAGCCTTAATGAAATGTTTTAGTTGCCTAACCCTAAAGATGCAGGGTATCCTCCAAATTGAGTAATTTGTACGTGTCATGCGATGGCAAAAGTGTTCATGGTCTGAACGATCACGCTTAAAGGTGGGTTAAAAGGCTAGCTGTTGGATACGGGGATAACGGTGCATGGTTTCGTTCGACAGTCTTTCTTCAAGTGCAGTCGTGTTGTTGCAAAAGATGTATTGAATTGTGCCAGCTTTCCACACTCCCTCACCCTGAGTGTCCATTTGTAAAGTTAGTTATTGTTGGTAAGGCTATAAGAAGGGTGTTACAACTGAAGCATGCTTGTACCTGAACCATTCATTAACCAGAATTTATTTCCCACAGTAGTTGCCTTTCGTATATAGTAGAAACTGAGCATTTATATAGTAGATATAGTAGAAACTGAGCATTTTAAAAGTTTTGGCATTGGACGTAAAACAAACAAACAAAAAACCTCAGTCATGCCGAGTCATCCAATACTGACGTTCTTGTGTGGAGGTGGTAGTAACTGGAAAATCTGCTTTTAGTGAGGTGTGCATATTTCTTCTCCTCTTCCCACACCCAGATTGTACCATATGAGTTAACTACTTCTTCTTCAGTCAGAACTTACTGTGTATTTTTTTTATTTTTCCTGCGTAAACACTCGATTCTAAGTGCAATGCAGCTTAAATTGACCTTCCAAGTCTTTGCAGTGCTTTTGACAGAAACTTTCTCACCAGGCTCGACCTTGTTCTGTGTCACATTTACACATACAGATGACATGCTACATCAGGTCCCTGGGGTGTAAGCCTGTGAACAACGAGCAGTGAAAGGAGAGACTACTGTTTGGTTTCCCCTCAAGTTGACCTGTCAACTTCTGCGTGTGGCTCGCGATCTCCTGGGGGCCCGCATGAAATAGGGAGAAAAACACAGCAATGAAGAGTGGATTGGAGAAAAGCAGCCAGAAAGAGAACCCGAAAGCCAAAGATAGAAGGAGAAAGAGACATAGATAAGTGTGCCTTTGAAGACTACATCAGCAGGCTTCATGGCACTCAGGCAGACCTCTCTCCTCCCTCCTCACGGAGGACCCATCTCAGCAGATGAAAGCAGGAGCCTCTTTGAGGTGGCGCCCTAGCATTATCCCTGCATCCTGCATCAAGTAATTGAAAGACCTAAGAGTATGGTAGGGGGCTTGAAGAAAGGAGGGGTGCAGGCTGAGTCATCCTTGCAAGTTTTGGACTTGCAGAAAGGAGAAGACTTAGGCCATGATCAGACAGAGCGTGTTTAGCAGCCCGGGGCCCCAATCAGACAGAGCACATTTTGCAGGTTGCAAAATACAAGGCGTGCCGCACAGCCTTTTTTTGTTGAGGCCTGCCCAGATCAGCGATGATCTGCGTCTTTTTATTAATTGTCGCTAGGCAATAACAAAATTACCTGTCTTTAGCTTAACTGCTATTTTGCTGTGACGTAAACTCACAGATCTGTATCTTAAAATCTGCAGAAAAATAATGGTCAGGTGAAAGGCACTTACTCTGGCACTTACTGAGTGTGAGAGGCTGTTACCAAATAATATGTTTGTCACAAGTGAATAGTGATCCATGTGGATCCATCACAGGGAGTACCACCGGCTGATGTAGGAGCTTTGCCTGAATGATGGTCGGTTCAAGGCTTATTTTCCGATGACTTGTGGACAGTTTGACACTCTGTTGCCTGGCCTTGTTATGCATGGTAAAACATTAGAAAGCAGTTTGTTCAGGTATGTGTTGCTGCTTGCCTAGGATGACATTGAAAGCAAGCTAATGTTAGCGTCACATAAACCACTACTACATGTTGTCATCACCACCAAAAACATTTTGCCTCTTAATTCCCCTGATTTGACAATGGGAATACACAGCAGCGTTTTTCAACTTGAGGCATTCGGGGCGCTCTTGCAAAACATGCAAGGTGCACAAAGGCTGTAAGACGCTCAGCAATCCAGAAGCAGCAAACAAATTGCTTCACTCTCATTGAAAACCATTACAAAAAGTCGCCCCAGGCTTCTAAAACAGGCTCTGACTGGGGCCGCAGGATGTTCAGTGAGCAAGGAGCTAGCTAGGAAGGAGGAAAAGAAGAGAAGGCAGCAGCTTTAAAAGTTATAGATGTTTTGAACACAATATATTTCACATATACACCATATAGCAATGTAATGTCTCTTGTCAGGCAAATTGATAGGGAACCAGAAATGTTGAAATCACTATCAAAGACCTGGCATAGAAGTTAAACTGTGGAAACATTTAATTAAACATTTGACTTAGTTATATAGCACCTTTCATAGCAGTTATTGCAATTTAAAGTGCTTTAAGGTTAATAATAAGACAATAGAGATGATAAAATAGAACATTATGGAAGAAGGGGTCTATACTAGAAAGTGCACAGCACCCACTGCTGTGCCATAACTAATGCAGCTTTCATACTGGATGGAATATAACACATATTATATGCAGGAGCTGGTGCGCTGTGATGGCTTATATGGCTGCAGGTATAATAAAACCGTCTTAAATTTGAAACTGGCCTCATAACTGCCACATTATCTGACCAAATGAAGCAGAAAGGACATTTTTGCCTATTAAGATGTAGAGGACATGCTGCAGTGTGTTGTGTGTATGTTAGAGAAAGAAGAAAAAGAGGCAGAGAGAATAATATTATATCTGGGGGGATTGAATATGGGACAGTCCTGAATGCGCTCAATGGATCAGAGTAATCTCAGTCAAATCAGTGTCAATGCACTGTCTGCACGCTTTTTAATCCTCTCTGGCATGACATTTAATATGTTGTACAGCAAGTGTATTATCTACATTTTCAGATGAATACATTGCAGATCTAAAGCTGTCGCATTTGCCGCAAATGTTTTCATCACTTTGGACGTTAATCTGCGCTGCTGATGAGGTCTGTATTTGCTGTATGACATTCCTGATGGAATAAGCACATGTGTGTAAAAGAGGGGGTAAAAAGGGTAAAAAAGAGAAGTCAAATCTGATGGGCTGATTTCTCACAGTAATCAGGGCACTCACACCTTCGTCATGTCTTCTCCTAAAGGTCCTTCCCTCTTGTTCCTCTCCATCCCCTCTCGTTCTCCTCCCTCACTCCCTTTGGTTTTTTCCAGTGGATGAAATAGAACATGGTTTCTCATTATCAGCCAGACTCCTCCCTCTCTTTGACTGGTGGTGTTTCTCCTCCCTCCCTCTTGTGTGGAGAGCCCGGCAGCGAGCGTTAATCCCGGATTGCGCTGCCCTGCCGTCTGCATCCCGTTGTTGCTGGGAGAGCATGGCACGGCTCCAGGACCCCTGTGCTCACACAGGAGAGAAGTGAACGAATGAGAGAGAGAGAGAGGGAGAGAGGCAAGAGAGGGAGAAAAGGAAGGAGGTACAGTTGGGCTGTTTTACGACTGTCACAGCTGCTTGAGCTAGAGTGTTGTTGAGTTTCAGTCACACACACACACACACACTCTCTCATAAACAAGGGAGAAAAGAGAGAATAAGGAAGGATGACGGCTGGTTTGTCGCAGCTGTGGGTGCAATTGTGAATGAAGAAAGAGGAAACCTTGGTCACGTCCTGGGTTCCACCACATCGCAACCTCTCTCTGCACTGCGCTGCGTCTTCCTCACCGCTCACACTTAAGAGGGATTAAACTTTTTTTTTTTTTTTTTTATCTCTCGTTGGCACATCCGGAACTCTTTGACACTCTGACATGGAGTCTCCCACCAAAGAGATTGAGGAGTTTGAAAGCACGGCCCTGAAGTACCTGCAGCCAGAGCAGATCGAAAAGATTTGGCTCAGGCTCCGCGGACTGTGAGTATATCTACTTTTCCTGTTTTCAACAAGTGTGCGTGCAGTAATGCGTGTATGTACGTGCCTCTGTGTGAGTGAACCAGGCTTTTATTATCTACATGTAAATTTATCTGTAATAAAGTATGTTGAGTAGCATAATCTTATAAAAACATACATGAAGGACGCAGTATAAAGACTGGGTATCATAATAAAGCTTGTCTTTGCACTGATTTTTTTTTACAGCATGTGAATATTGTGAGAGAAAGACAGATCCAAGGATAGACTGATTGTTCAGAGTAGAATGGAAACCTAAAAACATGCAATGAAAGAGATTGCAATTACCCCCCAAGCGTCTCCGAGCTACTTGCTTTGATTTATTTTGAATGGTTTGTTTATTAAATATGACAGCAAGGAAGAAAAGGAAAATAAGTCAGAGCTGATGTGTTAGCTGCATGATTAGTCAGTTGAAGCACTTTTATTTACTCCCAGGCACCAGAATTTTTTAAAGAGACAAGAAAATTATGATGCATGCTTTTAACACCTGTTGTCTGTGTCGTAATATGATGCAACAAGGAGGCATATATGACTGAATTTGCGCGTTTTTGGTCAAGGTATTGAAGCTGGATTCATTTTCTAATCTATTTTTTTTTGTCTTCTCCCTTATTTCTGCCATTCTTTTGCCTCTTACACACCCATACTGTTTCTTTTCACGTAATACAAAAGCCTCCTCCCGCCTCATTTTTCTCATTTCTCCAAGTTTTTTTCAAACCTCCACTACTACAATATTACTTTCTCACATCCACCAACCAATCAACACCTCTGTGACCTTTAGCCCCGAGGAAAAAAAAATAGCCCCACACACCTTACATGCAAGTTGAAGTGGGAATTTTCCCCTTTCCATTTCCAGTTCCCCTCCTCCTTACTCAGCAGGGAGGAGGAGACGGCGGTGTTGCTAGGAGGGTTGCGTTCATGAAAAAAAAAAAAAAATCTTTCATGTTAGTGCTGGAGGTCTGAATGAAATGCAGTTTCCTCCTGCACCACAGACGTCAACTGAGTGAATGAAGTGTTTGATGGGGCTGCTGTTCATCTATCAGCCTTCCTCCCCTCTCCTCTCGCATCACTCTATTCTATTTTTAGTTATTTTCTTGTCATGGTGTTTCCATTGTTCTGTGATTAGTCATTGTTTCTCCGTCTCTGGTGTCAGAAGCCCGATATGTGGGTCCCCCCACCATCATCCTCTGCCACATCTAGTTTCCTCGGATGACTTCATTGTCTCTTCCATTTGGTCACTGTCATAAATCCCCTATCATAACCATCTGTCTTTTTGGATATTTGATGGATAGTGAGTCAGATGAATGTAACAGGGGCCCAGACTCTTTTTTTTTTTCATCACGACTACACTGCAGTCTGCTGGGTGCTCTGAGGGCTCCTGTTGCGTGTCAGAGATCACATTAGCCTTTAATCTCACAAAGAGCCTCCGTCAGAAGAGAGGGAGCTCCAACTGACAGGCAGCCCCCACAGATGTTGACGCTTCAGAGTGTATGTTGTGTGTTAAATAGGGAGGGACTGACAGTATGCTATGAATGAGTGTGTGTGTGTGTGTGTGTGTGTGTGTGTGTGTATGTGTGTGTGTGTGTGCGTGTGATTGGAAAAGGTTGACCGTGCATGTGCTCGTGAGGCTCATATAGATTTGATGTGTATTGGGCGGCTTGGTGACATTTAATGTATGTGCTGCCAGCTTATCCTCAGAGATTTGTTTGGCAGCTGTATGATTTGTATATGTGTGTGTGTGTGTGTGTGTGTGTGTGTATGTGTGTGTGCTGGATGGCTATCACAGCACTCTCTCTGGCACAGCGTACTCCACAGAGTACACCAATCATCCATGGATAGACAGAGAGAGAGAGAGAGCATTTGCTTTGGACAGTTTTCCCTTTACTCAACCTTGAATGACGCAGTCTAAAGCCTGGTGACATGCACTGATCAAGGCATGAAAAGCGTGTTGTGTTTTATTACTACCCTATGACAAATGGCCCACTCATGTTTTTGCATCGGTGAATGGATTGCAATGGATTTCCATTGATAAATTAGATCACTGCGACACACCTAACCTTTCCCTCACCCACTGATTAATGGAAATCAATGAATTATTTAATCACTTGATCAACAGTTCATCACAGAGAGCTCCCTTAGGGGAACTTAGATTTGGTCCAAGGAGGACCAAGGTGGCCAGATGACTGCTTTATGACACTGATTTGTGAGGCGCTGACTAAAATATAATAAGATAATCCAAGCACAACAAGCTGCTGTTAGCTCTCCAGCCAGCTGTTTGGAAACACCATAAACATGTACTTTAACAGGGTTCAATTTTGCTTCTCTGCGACCTTTATGATTACAGTAATTCCTGGAATTTCCATGACCCCCTTCAACCCACATCCTCATTATGCTCAGAACATTGCATTAAAGCTTTCTAATTAGAAGAAGCTCTGTGCTGTTGATACACACATTTAGACGTAAAGCAAGCTCAGTGAGGTGATAAAGGCCAGGAGAGGAAGTGAGGAGAATAGGAAATGTCCAGACTCTGTTTCTCCCTGACCTTCCAGTTCCCATTTTGTTATTTATCCCTGTTTATTTGTATCTTGTCAGCTTTTTATATCCACACCCTTGTCTTATTTTTGCATCATTTACTCTGTTTGAAACCCCAGAAACGCTCTTACACAGCCATCTGACTGTGACACTTCATGTCTTCTTTATTTTAATTGCGTGATGGACCCCTAGTGATTGATTTAATCCTTTTTACCCCACAGTCTTAAGGGAGCTCTTAACGTTTCTTTACAGGGAATAACTTCCTTAGCTTGCAGTTTTGCACTGGGCTTCGGGAGAGATTGATACAGAAAAAGATTGAGAAACAAATCAAGCTAAGTGCTGTGAATTCTGCCTGACTGGAATTTAAATCCATGTCTGTTGCGGAATAGCGGTGGGTCCATCCTCCCCTCCACTTCGCTATTATGAGTGCCTTAAGTGTGTGTCTGTGTGTGTGTGTGTGTGTGTGTGTGTGTGTGTGAAAATTCAGCTTTTAGAGCCACGCTGTTATCACTTTACAGAGGTGTGGGTGTGTTTTAGGCCAAATGTTAGGGTAAGTGAAAGTAGGTGTGTTTTAACGTGACTGTGTAGGTTCACAGTGTGTGTGCTTGTGTAGTAAAGTAAGTAGGATGTCAGGGGGTGGTGTGTGTGTGTGTCTGTGTGTTTTTTTTTTTGCATATCATTATGCCTCTCTTAAACTCCTGATCTGCATAAGTGATTGTAAGCATTTGCATTCTTTTTGAATTTGCAATGTGAACACAGCAACACAATATAACTGTTGGGACTGATGTTATCCCAAAAACAAAGGAAAATGAAACAACCAGTGCAATCAAAGGAACTTTACTTACTTACATGTTATTGCTGTAAATCTACCGACTTGGTACAATAGCATTTTCCTTTATTATGTTGCTGATTTTTATTTTTCGGGATAATGTCTGTTGTTGTCAGAAGCACATTGGCGCTCATGCAAGAGCATTTTCGTATCATTATCTTTAACTCTCTCACTGTTTTTCAGTGAAGTTTGCTCATACCGTTGTTCCAAGTCTAATTCACAAAACTTATTGCTTGTTTCCACTCACTGAAGGCCACCTGTGCTCGAGTAGGAGTGTGTCCATGAGATTTGGTCATTTGCATAATCAATGCCTAAAAAGGCCACCTGTTCCACTCCGTTTGTGGGCAAGTTCAAGTTATTCAGAAAATTGTTAACAAAAAGTAAGAGCTTTAAGTCCCGCTGTTGAAAATCAGTAGACGAAAAAATAACAAATTTAAGCAGTTTCAGTAGTCATATGATTGGACCCAAAACAACCCAGAGAATAACAAGCTGCCAAGAAAGTGTCATTGCCTAACTGTGACAGAAATAAAGATTGAATGGCAGGACATGAAATTAGATGGTCAGAATGTCTCTAAAAAGCTAATTTGTTTAGGACTTAGATGGGAGGTGGTCACAGGGATGTGACAGAACAAGAAAATATTATACAGCAGGTGATGTTATACGATCTGGTGCAATAGTGCATAATACTGAAAAAACCCGAGGCAGCTGTTGGGCACAGAGATTTTTCTAAAACTACTGAACCACAAAGTTGCTTTGTAATAAATAAATAGGTTTAACAAAATGCTGGAATTTTGAAAAACTTCCTAAACCACTCAGTTAATTATTAGGCCACGATGGTGATATGGTGAACAGAATATAGTATTTCACATTGAATTTGTTTTAGTTATATAATTCATTTTTGTTTATTTCAGTTTTATATTTTTTAATTCTAACATTGTGATTCTTAAAGGTGCAGTCTGTGATTCTGATCCAGTACACTTGTGAAATTCAGTGAATATGGGTGCTTTCAGACCTAGACTTTGCTCGTTTTGGTCCTAATCACGGACTAATTTTGTTACAAAGAATTTCCATGTGGGAAGAGTAGTACACTTGCAAGATAAATGTGACTCTTTCTAATGTCACAATGGAGGGACAACTACGCAGGTTGATTTTAGTGCTGGTCATCGTGGACTATATTGCTGTCATTGTTCATTTTAGTCAAACCATACAGTTTGAAAACGAGGCGCGGCTCCAACTAGAAAACAATGTTTTGATGCATTGGATGTGCTGAATGTGCATATTAAGGCAGTACAGGAGGAGGTGCACATTAATAATCCTCTGAGACTGTAACATGCTCATGTTTAACCCAAACAATGTGTCATGTGACTGTAGTTGGTTCAGATCGAGGTCGGAACACATTCTCACCACAAATGAACCACACCAGAGTTTGTTTGCAACTGAACTGAAACCACCTTGGTCCGGTTGTTTTGGTGTGCGCCCAAGTGCGATTGTTGTGTTCACACCTGCCCAAACGAACCAAACTCAGGGGGCAAACAAACTTGAATTCGATTGAACCAAACCAAACAGGACAGGCGTGAAAGCACCCTAACTTTCCTGGGTCAAGACCTTGGAATCTGCTCACTCTACCAAGCTGACAAATTCATCTGCTATAGACGGGTCTAATGCCATTGTCAGGCTGTTGTGATTGGTGTTGCGAGGAGTAACAATGGCAGTGCAATAGACAAGATAGATGGTGCTATCGAGACTTTTCTAAATCGATATGTCTTCTCAATATCGACTGACGTGTATGTTTGTTTTACTGTGCTCCACTCCAGTCTTAAAACCCTGGCAAAACAGGTATGTTTTGATGCGGCTTCACATCAGTGTGGACTTAAAATAGTGTTAGATGCGGGTGGATACGTTGTTCTGTCGAGACTGGTTAGGGAAAATCAAATCCCCCTCACTCACAGAAAGCAGTTAGGGTGGACGTAATGTCAGACTGAACATGGCAATGGAGTGTAACAAGTTGACAATGCTGTCTGATATCAGGCAACCAAATTTCTCCTCCAGCCTGCTAGCCGCCCATTCTGTGTTCCCTGAAAAATAAAATCTGGTTTTCTTACACGGCCCTGGCTCTGTAAATGGGAAACAAAGAAAGTGGCTCACACCGAGCTACACAACACTATGCCAGCTACTCTCCCTCTTCCAAGTCACCACCCAGGAAGAACAGAGCTCCATCATGATGGCAATGAAACATAAATAACATTGGAGGAATTACCAGAGCTGAGTGTATTTGTTTGGGTGCTGAGCTCAAATATCATCAATTTTTCTCTAGCATTGTAGACTGCACCTTTAAGTCAAACAAGTGTTTTCCTTTCTTGTGAAGCAAAGCAGACTATATGCACGTGATGCGTACAACCAGTAGTGTCATTTATATGTTCTAGCAATTTGAGTGAATCTGTTGGTATGAATGGTTTTTGCATGGGGCCCAGTGTCTTTTCTCGCTGTCTGTCCATGTTACGTAGAAAAACAAGTCCAACAAAGATCACAAGACTAACATTTCAATCGATGCCTCACTGTACTCATGTTTGTTTTCTCTGTCAGGCGCAAGTACAAGAAGACATCCCAGAGGTAAGACTTGCTGCTGGGACTCTGGACCTCCTCCTTCTCCTCCTCCTCATCCCTCCCTCCTAGACTTCCCATTCCCTCCTCCTCCTCCTCCTCCTCCTCCTCCTACTCTTTTTCTGGATTTTCTGGATTTCCTCCCTCTGCTCCTCCCACATCCCTGGACCTCATCCTGGACCTACTCCTACTTGTTTTTGTCTGTCCTCATTCATTATTCGTTGTTGGTTATCTTGCAAAGCACTATGTAACTTTGTTATGAAAGCATAAATTGAATAAAAATTGTGATTGTTATTGTTATGATTATTATCATTATCCCCATTATACTGTCATTGCTGAGGGTCACAGATCTCCGCTGAAAAATTCAAACACACTTTGTCACACTTGTATGCATTCATAAATAATCTTTCTTTCACTCACACTTTCTCTCTTGCGTTGATTCAAGTGTCAGCTCATCGTCATTACCAGATAACTGGCACCCTAATGGATAGAAATGATGGGGACGCAGTTGTTTGAGAGTCATAGACAACTCACAGGACTTGAAAGCTTGACGAATAACTCGAGTGGCATGCACGGTATCGTCTTTATTTTAAAACTCTCATTTGTTTAGTTCTGTTGGAGAGGCTCAGGGGAAATCAGGCCGTCTGTTAACTGAGACTTGAGTACATTTATTTACAAGCACAAAAGCAGGGATTCATTAATGCCACTGGATGAGTGTGTGATGCAGATTTAAGTATCATTTGTTAAAGATGTTTCTGTATTGATCTGATGCATGCTATCAGTGTCCCTCATTATTCATTTCATCTTCCCCCGTGGTTATTTTTTCTCTGACATATATTATGGCTTTAGACGAACCAGGAGACCTTGTAAAACTGTGAAATGTTTAATCATCTCCCTTCCATCTAGGAAAATGACAAAGATATTTTTTATTCCAGTATTTTTTGCATGGTCTGATCTTGAAAACAAACGAGCCAGGTGCTTATGAGGTTAAGCCTCCCAGCTTTGAGATTATATTCATTCCTACTGGAAAGCCAAGTACTAAAAAACCTTGACTTTTTTTTTTTTTAATCTTATCTCGCCCAGTCTCTCTCTGTCTCAAGGCTTAGTTTTGATAAGAGAGAAAAATTATGCATTTGACCTAATCTCCTTTCTTTAAAATGCTCTTGATCCCAGTGTCACCACTTTTACTACATTCAGATGCAAAGAAAGGATACCAAATATAAATTTATCAAATTAAAAATACAGAGCTTTCATACATTTTTGGTAAGCTTATAACAAAAACAGAGCTAAGCCCAGTGTCTTCTTAGTAAATACAACACGCTGTAATATATATTCAACATAGAACAGACTGAGAAAAGACCGAAAACGACAATGCATTTGAGCATTTGGAAGATGACTGGTCAATACTGGTCACAAATATGTCATTATTATAAAAAATGTACTGAAACTACTTGTTGCTGCAGTTTTTAGCAAATATTATTCAAACAGGAGTTTGAAACGCCCAGTCTCTTTTACTAGCCCGGTGTGGCTACACAATTTGACAAATAATTGTCTGTCTCAATTAGAAGCCTGGTCTAGTTGCCAAGCATAGAAGTTCTTCGGATGTATAAAACCGAGTTTTTGGCTACTTCAAATTGTGTGTCCATCAGTGGTGGCTGCTGGTCTTTCAAACAGGGGAAGCTCACTTTAAGTTTACATCATAAAATTTGTCATACTGTAGCGAGGCAGTAACTTATAAAAGGAACATTTAATTGAAACCGTTTTTCAACCACGCTCATGCTATTGAAAGATAGCGAAACACACCTCAAAGATTTTCAGATGGGTTTAAACACCTGAACTGCACTGTACAAACGGTGAAAATAAGGAAATAAGCAACTCCAGACGGCACTCTGTCAGAAGACTCCACTCGCAAATATCTGCGTAGGACTGAGCTCGAAATGCGAAGTGCTGTCAATCACAAAGGGGTTTTAGACAATTCCTCCAATCATCATGCATACACCGAGCGTCCTCTCCCTCCTACTGCTCCATTAAGTCCCAGGGAAACTGAGTCTCCCTGGAAGTGACGATTTTGTCACATTTATCCAATGACCATCTCGCTTTGCTGCATTAAATAAACCTGCTCAGCGCTGTCTCATAGTAATGCTTGGAGGCTCCATGTCCACTGTGCTGACACGAGAATGTATGACAGGGAGGTTGCGTTGAAAACTGGTGATAAGCAGCTGACGTTTGAACATCATTGCCATGATGTTAAATGCATCCTAGCGCACGTTTAATGCAATGTAAATTCTTATTTTAATGTAAATTCAATAGTGCATATTTGACCATTTCTTCTATGAAGTTTTAGGGGAAGTTCAGCCTGCCTTGTTGTCTCAGAGCAATCGCCCCTGGTGTCCATCCCTCGACTACCCTGTCAGTTATTCATATTCCTTTACTCCATAAGGGTCCTCAGATCAAAAGAATCAAACAGGTTTTGCATAAAAATTAATCCAAGTTATGAGTATTGTTTTGACAGGATAAAGTGGTGTTGTGTTGGTATGCTGGGCTCACAATCCTCAAGTGCTAATTGATATATTATCTGAAGCCTAATTATTGAACAAGTAATATCCGTGCTGGTTTAAATAAATAATTTGATTGTATTTCCTGATTTTTGCAGAGCCATAGTTTTGTATGAAAAGAATTAAAGTCCTGTCTCAAATATAGGCCTGTTGATTGCAGTGATTTAAGCAAATAATACTACTATGCTACTACTTTTTTCTAAAGTTTTACGGTAAATAGTGCATTTGTTGGAGACTAATTTTAGATGTGGATTGACACACATTTGGTGCTCTAGTGTGTATTTACAGCACCAGGATAGCGTATGTGAGATTGTCTCAAAATAAACAACAGTGCCCGTGTTCATCATAATGACAGAACATGTCACATGTCACAACAGTACAGCACATTGATGCCTTTTTAATAGCTTTTGGGCGGCAATGGAGCTCTATGACACGGAGGGATAAGATGTGAGTATTTTGCTACACAGGCAGTATTTGATAGTAGGATTAATACATTGTTGGGATTTTTTTAAGAACAGTATAGCACATACTTTCCTGTAAGGGTGACATGGATGGTAAATGTGCCTAACAACACAGTGTGCCCTCAGTTTTCCTTCAATATTTTATCTTAATACAATACAATACAATAACAGCAACTTGGCTTACTAACGCCAAGGGCAGTGTATTTCTACACACAATAGATCACCTCTCCTTATATTAACTCCATGAATAGGAAATTGCAGCAGCTCCACAGATGAAGCTCAAAACAAAAAGAGGTTGCTGCAGCGCCGCACTAATGCTGTTTCATGGCATTTTCCTGTGAACTGTGGGATTGCTGCACAGTTGGAGTAATTGAACCAAACTCTCCTCATGCTACTTATTGGCACAGTGTGTGGTCGTTTGGTATAGAGCTAGCTGTTGGAAACTCTCGTTCTCTCTCCCTCCGTCTCTGATGGGTGGGTGAGTTCCTGTGTGGAGGAGCCGGCTGATTGACAGCTCCATATGTGTCTGTGTAATTACGGCCAGGCTAATTGGCAGAGAGGAACACTGGGACATTGTCATTACTGACACACCAGTACAACCCCTCACACATGCAGATGGAGGGAGAGATAGCCCTCTTCACAGAGGGAGGGATGGAGGGATGGAAAAGAGGAGTATTTGTGTGGAAAGGGAGTTAAGAGAGATGGAGGAAAGGCTGCAAAGAAAGGGAAAATGGTCTGTTTAGGCCTTTGTGTGTTTTATGTGGGTTTGGAAACAGTTTGCCTGTTACTATTTTGGTTATCACATGGGCACTATTGTGCTCGTTCAGTGGTTTACAGTTTGCCAAGCCCCGCTCCTCTTAGTTACTGTTGCTATGCCTCTCAAACTTTACATTTTTGCACAGAACATATACATTTTACTGTCTGACTTCTTTTAAAAATATCTTAAAGCCAGGATTGGCAGAAATCTGGAGAAGGCAAAATCAGAATTTGAAAATACGTCCTCCTGCAGCTCTGCCCTCTGTCCTAAGCCCCTCCCACCACACTACTACGTGCATATGCACACACTTCATACAGTAACCCACTGTTTCATATACATTGCTTTATTTAACCTTATTTTATTATGCAGTTGCTGCCCGCTCTGCTATAGGTGAGGTGGTCTGTAGTGGCGGGAAGTGAGGCAGGAGACACACTGTCATTGAAGGCTCCAGTTAACGTTAGCTACAAAAACTTGAACTGGAAGCTGCAGCTGTGAGCCTTTATCTAGGATCAAAAAAAGGCAAAATTTTTGGCAGAATTTTTTCCTCCATCTCTGAAATGCTTTGCCAACACTGACACATAGGATTGCAGGGATATACTGGTATCAAGGTTTACCGTGACATAAAAGTTGGCAGCAATCACACCGTGTACATTTGCTAATGTAGGATATTGAAAACCATGAAAATGTTATGCCGTTGAAACCCTACTGACATGTTTCATTTTGTTTATTGTCAGACTCTCCTTCAGACTTTGATAAGTTCGTCTTTCTTTTGTGGGTTGCTTTGCAGTGTTGGCAATTATTGCCAATGCTAGAATATTAACCTCCTCTGCAGGACAACATTGAATCTGAAGGGACATACACACATATTTGCATTTGTACAACAGTCAATAGAAACGCCCTCTCTTTGAAATGACCTGTGATTGATAGTGGCGTAATAACACATCGATCTTGATCGATTAATTGATTCCACAATCAACGATCCAATGTTAAAGATGTAAAGTGAAAACACTGGTAAATATTGTTGTCTTCAGGATAGGGCTTTATTTTTTATGTTCCCATGGCATGTCCCTGTCACCATTTCTGCACAAGCACACCTCCTTCCTCATCATTCAAACAGTGTTAGTGGCCTTGCGCCAGGCAGGCATTAGGAGGCAGCCAAGAAAAAGACAACAAGGGTATTTACTGATATGATCTCATATTAATCACAGGTTACTGAACTGAATCAAATTGAAATCA